AGATCGTTCACCGATCTGGGACCCGATCGTCGTTTGGGTCACGTTTTAGGTGGTCACGATTTATTCTGCCCGTGACACTAGCTATTTTTGTTTTTTTCTTCGTGACAATTTAATTAAAATTTAGAACTTCGATTAATTTCTATTAACCAATAAGATTTTACTATATCACGGGATGATCTACAGAAATTGGCCAATCACAATAAAAGCCCGCTATGTTATCCTAGGTAGGTTTAGATTCGTGTATCACGTGATTCTGCTCCACTTTAGACGACCCCAGAAATAGCAAAATTGGTTTATGCCAATTGATTCTTTGAAGGTTTGCAAAGCATGTAGCAACAAGAGATTGAACATAAGATCGAATAAAATTATCTTGACATTTTGGAAATTTACAAAATTTTTCTAAAATTCGGGAACTTTTTCTGGAATCATTCTGAAATTAACAATTGCATCTTAATTTTTTTCTCAAGTGGTAAAATAACTGGAACATTATACATTGAGAAAATTCAGGTTCTGAGATAATTGTAACGGTTGCATTAAAATATGGGCTTGTAAAATTATTAAATATATTATTTTTTAATAAAGAAACTTGCAAAGATCCCAAGTTCGCCAAAGCAAGTAAAACAATAACTACAAAAAATTTCATAATTTTTTATAATGATAAGGAATAATTATAATTTGTTGCACGAAAGTTTTCGTTATCAAGGCAAGACTATAGGGAATGGAATTTTTCCAAAAAGAAGGTAAAAACTTTAAGAAAAAGTTTCTTAATAAAATATCAATTATCTGAGAGGATTGTTATTTGTTTTTACGCTTCCTAATTGAAAATTATAGTGAGAAAAGAATAAAATTATTTTCAATTGATTTTATAATACTAGAATCTGGAATAGGGCGTCCCAGAATAGGAATTTTGACAGAATCGAAATTTATCCGGGACAGTTTGATCCTGAATTAGATGCTGTAAAATCCAATTTAGGTACAAAATAACAGATTTTTTATTATGGCGTATGCAAAAAAGGTGTGACCTTGTGGTTTCGTGATGAAGATTTCCGAGATTTTAATTCCCTATTGTTCATAATTTTCAATCAATAACATCTATATTTTGTGCGAAAATCTTTAAAATTCTCCAAGAATCGAAAAATCCAATAGAATCGGTTAATTCCTTGTGGCTTTACATGACATCTTGATCTGCAGGAAAAAAATTCGTTCTTACACGTTGTGATCAAAAAACATTGTATGTTGATCCTAAAGTTTCAGATCGCTCAGATATCCGGATAATCCTACTGATATTCGAATAACTATCACTGTTCTGGGACAATAGAAAAATTTTCTGATACCGGACCGATAAGTTACCGAGTCGGAATAAGTAAGTGACCGACTTCGGCCGAACTCGGAAATTTATCAATTCGGTCATCGGCATTTTTTACAGTTATTCCAGAACAGCTGTAATAGTAAACAGATAAAATTCAGATCTGGATGTCTGATAAATGCTTAACGTTTGGAACTATTTAAAGTAAATTAATTATGATATGTCGCAATTGGACAAGGTAAATCTTTTTAATAGAGCACAAAGGCAGTTCGTTTTGCAAATTTTCAGATTTCTTTAAAAGTTAAATCCAATTTGTAACATGGTTTTAAGATTTTTATTAAAATGTAAATATTTAATATATTCAAAAGGCATGACCTACATTGGCGTCAACCATATAGTACATATATGGGAAGTTCAAAATCCTTTGCCGAAAGCTCGTAGGTTAAATGAACAAATTTAAGGTAGCTGGGTAGTACGTACTGGATTTTTCGATCCTCCGATTGTCAAATGTAACAGATTTTCTCACAAAATGAAACTCAATATTGATTTCTAATGATTGTTCTAAACTTATGTTAAAAAATAGAAATATTATGGCATAAAAGGGTCCAAATTATGAAAAAATTACCATGTTAAAAAGACAGATCAAAAAAAATACGAAATAATTAAATAAATAATACAAAATAAAATAATGAATAAGCAGTCCAAATTATTAATTATTTGCTTATTAATTTTTTTCGTAGTTTATTTCACAGTAACTGATTCTAATGAACCTAGCACCAGACCCATAACTGATGCGGAAGTGAGCATGCTACAACGATTTGCTCTCTATTCTCGCTTAACATACGATCTATCAATATTAAAAGCAGCAAACTGGACATGTGATGCTTACAAAGGTTTTTCTAAAGATCCCGGTGAAATTAAAGTTAGCCCCGTTAGTTTTCATATTATTATTATTATTATTTTACTTTGCAGTTTATTAACGCATCATTTAATGCTTATTTTATAATTTTAAAGATTCCAATCAGTGTCGATAAAAACAGTAATACTGTTGATTTTCTCACATATAAATAGGTAATAAGCAATCTAAAGAAATCGGCATCACCTTCCGAAGAACTCTTAATAATAATCTTAACGAATTAAAAGCAGATATTGATCCATTAAACTAGTCAAATACTCATTGAAAATCAACAATCATCAATACCTAACGAAAATATCAGCGTTAGTGATGGATTTTTATCACATGGCAAAGGTTTTATTCATCAAACCTTATGGAAACATTAACTTTATTAATGAAAGAATATCCAAGCTTTAACGTTTCAGTAGCTGGTCATGGTTTAGGAGAAGACAATGAAAGAATATTCAAGCTTTAACGTTTCAGTAACTGGTCATAGTTTAGGAGGAGACAATGAAAGAATATCCAAGCTTTAACGTTTCAGTAACTGGTCATAGCTTAGGAGGAGGTAATAAAAAAAACAATTTATTTTATCTTGTTTTTTTACTTTATTTAATTAGAATTCAGGATTCCTTAATATTTTCAAATGTTATATAGCTTTAGGATTATTTCAAGCTCTGGATATTAAATATATCCGGAAGCTAAGCTCTGCTTTTATGGGTATAATATACCACGTGATGGAAATAAATTTTTTGCTAATTATGTTAATGAAGAATTAGCAAGTTTGAGCTGGATAAATTTATTTTCGAATTTCATTAAAGTCTGTGGCCTATCGGATATATGTTTTGTAACTGTAAGTGGAATTTGGAATTTCTTGGTTTTTTGGGTTTTCTATAGAAAATAATTTATACACAAAAATCCTAACTTAACTAATAAATTCTAAATTTATTAAAATTCCTACACATATATATATGGGGTTTCTGAAAGGAAGCTAGCCCGCAGCTTTTAAATTTATAACTTATCAGACCTAATCGGGATGATCGAATCTAGTAAGTCATAAATCCAAAAGCCAAAGGTTTACTTTTTCATTAGCTGCTCTAATACATCAATATTGTCAAATAAAATATGAAATATTCAATTTTCGACTACTTCACTCGAAGATGTAGACACATCTGGTATACAACAATCTATTATTTTGACATTTAACTGATTACCTTGATAAATAATTAATTAAACATAATGAATCTCAAAAAAAAAAAAGAAAAAGAAAACATATATGGTGCAAGACATCTATCTATATTCGACAATCATGTGCCTTGTTTCAATTTTTCAAACTGCTAAAACTTTTTATATAAGAGGTTTTTCAAAAAACTGGCCGGTTATTTTATAGAGCTATATATGCTCTATAAAATTATCGGTCAGTTTTTTGAAAAACCTCTTGTACAAAAAGTTTTAGCAGTTTGAAAATTGATATTAAAAAATTAAGATTTATATATAAAATAAACTTTAACCGAACTTTAAAATGCTAAAAGTTTTTGCGAAGACATAATTTTAAAAATCTGACCGGCAACTTTGTAGAGCTCATCATGAAGAACAAAGTTACCGGTCAGATTTTAAAAATATTGTCTGTGTAAAAAGTTTTAGCATTTTGAATATTATTGTCGAGTATAGATGTCTTGCACCATATAAAGAATAATAAGTATCACGTCAGAAAATTAAGTAATAAACGTGTGTACTTATTACCACACAAATATGTATTTTGTAACCTGTGACCACGTGCCATTGGGGAATTTCATAGGTTAAAAATCAAGTCTGTATAAGGCATTATAATAAAACCTTAATAGTATGAAGATGCATAATTTGTAAATCAAAAAAAAAAAGAGAAAAGAAATCACTACTGCAAATTATATGATCCGCCGTAAATCATACAAAATGGAGAATAACATCCTTATTTTCCACTGGGAAATAAGCCGTAGATCTCCGGTTATATGAGGCCCGAAGGACCCGGAATCTACCTCTTATTCCTGTCGTTGCAAAAATAAATAGTACCTTTTCATTTTTAATTTGATTCCTTATTTCATTTAGCTGGCGATGATCATAATAGTTAGTGTGATTAAATAAGCCTTTTTTATATTTATATTAAATTAACCTGTAAGTATAATCTAAAATATGTTAAAAAAATTTTTGTTGCTCTTTAAGTTATTCTATCTCGGGAATATTATAAATTATCCGCCATTCCACATTAAGTCACTTATTTAGGTTATAAATTTATCCGGTAAGTATGAATAATTTGCTAATCAAAGTATTCGAAAAATTGGGTTTATTAGTTTATTGTCCGTACTAATTTGTTCTTTTATTCAAGTCGTATTATTGCTAATCGAAATATTAGAAATAATCTATGTATCTATTAATAATTTCTTATTCGTGCTGATGATTCTTATAGCTTGATTTTCTGAAATTTATATACCAAGTATTGATTATAAATTTTAGTCTTATCTGAACTCAAGTTGCATGGTGTCATACTTACACTTGTACTGTATATTATAATAGTGCACATAATCTAAACCCAACAAATAACAAAAAATTAGGCTATATATGTTCGTTACAATAATTTTATGCAATTTTGGGATCGATAGTTTTTTTTTGGTCCGTCTACAAAAACCAGACTGGCTAAGTCCTAAGACAGAGCGCAAGACCGGTGTGAGACCGGAAACGTGACCTGACGGCAGGCACGTGACCACGTGACCCGGTAAATCTTAATTTGGGTTTCCCGTCCAGATCTGCCAGATATCCCGGATATGTCAGATCTGCCAGATCTGGAGGATCAGGATTATTTGAGTGAAATGGCGGATCTTAAGGATATGGACTATAAGGCTGATAATGGGTTTATTGATGATATTTGGGATATGGGAGATTCCTGGGATGTAAATAATAGAATTTTCAATTACAAATAAAGGCCCTTTCGGCTCTTGGGAAAAACAACTCCCACCTTTGCTTTATTAAATCATTCATACCATACAATTACTTTCATACATCATACTATTATTATTAATAAAACCATATACTTTGTAAATTTGACTAATTACTCTTAATAAAAGTTATACACTTCTACATTTTTTTTGTAAACTGAACCTAATGTTGAAGATACACCTTCGTTACAAACCCTGTCTCAACAGTGTTAAACTGTGGTTCTGTTCCAACTAAAACTATACCACTTGACTAAATCTAACACACCTCTTTTGACCTTAAAGTAACCTAAGGCTTGGTTACACATACCTACTTCTAGTTTAGCAACAGACTCGCTGATTCGGGTCTGACACCAGGTTTTAGTCAAACTGACTAACACCCTAATTGTGTACATGATCTAAATTTAATATGTCAAATCAAATATCATGAAATACAGAATCAGATTAACTTAAAATTTTAAACCACTCAATATTTAGATACTTTCCTGTTCCTGGTTTTGCGCAATGATGTCTTGCAGCTACCTTATTGTCGAATATGGTAATTTGACAAATAATTGGCCATATATGCTGCAAAGCGACACGTGCTCATTTGCCAAATTGCCGTTATTTGACAATTTAATGTATACATATCCAGATCTAGAGACGTTAAAAGTTTGGTTCAAGTTGGTCTTTTGAGTTGACTTGAACCAAACCTTTTTGAGTCAACTCTTGACTTGAGGAACCTTTTAAGACCGAGTTCCAATGGTCTTGTGCAGTGTTATACACAAATTACTCCCGTTATAGTAAGTGAGGGCTAATTGATTAACTTAAGTTGAATACCAGAATACTATTGGTAACATTATGTATTGTGATCAAATGTCATATAAATAACAAGTTGGTCCTGAGTCTGACTTGGAACCGAGTCAAATTTAAAACTCAACCTTTGAAGTTGAGCCAGACCAAACCGAACTTTTAATATCTCTATCCAAATCTGAATATCAATAGTTAACTAAATCAGATACGTATAGTATGGATAAATGGATGATGGATTTATCCAGTATGAAACCGAAAACGTGACTTGATGCAGGCACATGCCACATGCCTAGGTTATTTTCAAATTCAGATTTTCCGGCAAGAAACCCGTTTCTGGAGAAAAAGGAAAAATGAGAGAAATGGTAATGTTGAGATTATTGACATTTTTGTCAATAAGAGTATTTTTGGTTTTTATAAATAGAATGGTTATTATAAAATAAAGGCCTTTGGCCCATGGGAAGAATAACTCCCGCCTTTGCTTTTATTAATATCACTTAATTATACAATTACTTTCATATATCTTATGATAAATCACACAATCACTATTCATATATCTCTTAATTACTACTAATAAATTATATACCGCTAAGTCTCGTATATCGAACTTAACGTTTGATAAACATGCTTGTTGTAACAAAGCTATAAAGATACAAGTTCTGTTTCTAAACTTTATTAACCACTTGTCCAAATATAACACACCTCTTTTGACCCACTTAACCAAACTTTTGGTTACATGACACCCATATTGATCTAGCAACAGACTTGCTGATTTCAGGTCTGACACTGGATTGAAACTTTATATTGGAGAAAATGAATATCATTGAAAATCATTCATATGGGCTGTTTTGAGTAATTTATCTCTTAAACCATTTCTGACCCAAATTTGTTCTCAAATTTTTGAAATGTGATTTGTAACTTGTGTAGCACATGTACTACAATAAAAATTAAGATTTTATCTATGTAATATAAAAATCCTGATCTTTATTTATTTAGAAACTCATTTATTTTTAGTGTTACATAAATGTATTGTTTTTTTTTTGTTCGATCATCTTCTATTAGCTTTGTCGATCACGATCATCATAATTTACAGTATTTATTTTTATTTACCTATTTTCTTTTTACATAACACTTAAATACTATTCTTTAGTCATCAAAATATATACTGAAGATAATATTTCATATTTTTTGAGCTTATATGAAATATTGAGAATAAAATTAAAAATAAAGTTAGAAACATTACCAATAATAATAATGATAATAATGAAATTGCCAATGAAACTGATGCACAAAGATTTCAGAATTAATTTGTATAGAATTTGATAAAAGAATTACTCAAAATAATTTAAATAAGCCAATAATTAAGTATACAGACAAAAAAGTTTTTCAGTCAGAATTACAAAATAATCGACAAAGGCAATTTTATAATACAAAAAAAATTTGAAATACTTGTTGAATAATTATACCCACAAAGTTACTACTCGGAATATTGTAGCAGAAAGGTTCCTTTGTTTTGTGC